TGTAAGAGAAATCCTTTGAAACGGCCCCTGCAAAATATTACTGTGTAGAAAATTATTTGTATTGGTATTTTGTGACTGTGCTCAGATATTTTTTTTCACAGAGATTAAAAGAGCACATACATACAGTTTATTTAGAAAACATGTTTTTTTAAACAAAAAAATAGTTCACCTCAAAGATTTATCTGTAAAATCCTGTGCAGAATGACAACTTTTAAGCATCACAATACTTTATTTCATTAGTTGCCTTTGTATGTAATAAAATGTTTAATTATACAAAATTAACAGAAATGATTATTCAAAACTTAACATACTTGTTTAAAGTTGGTTAAACAAATATGAGTGCCCAGTAAGTATCACATATCCTATCTTCAAGTTTGCCCATGCCTTAAGTCTAAACGATCAACAAACAAAACGAAATGCATGTGCTTAAAAACTCTTTCATTACAAATGAATAAGGAAAAACATCTCCAGAAGAAACAGAATATGACAATGAGACCATAAATGTTAAACTTTAAAGAATGGAACCCAAAGTCTAGAGCTCTTGTTGTCAGTCCCTTAATTTTGCTTTTTCACCAACAGTTGTTTAAATTGTTTTGCCTTGTAATGGGAAATTGCTCTCTTCTTCTTCCTTTCAAAGTGCATAAAAAAACGGATTATTTCTGCTCTTTCTAGGGATGCTTGTCAGGAATGTCCACTTTTCTTTGTATTATTCATCTTGTCTTTAGAACCTCTAGCTCAGAAAGTTCTTCAATTTACTACTGCTACTTCTATTACTTCCACATCAGGTACTGCTCTATACAGATGATATGCAGGATTGTTATACTGAGACAGTGTTTTCCTATCTTATTTGCTACAGTAGGTTTGATGATTTTGATATTGGTACTCTGTCAGGGTTTAAAATTAGCTGGTCCAAGTCCACATTAAGACCATTAAATGCTGATGAGAAGAAAGCCTGTCTACCTCCAGCTGTACCACTGATTAAACATCTCTGAGACTTTGGTTTTAAAATTTACATATCTCATGCAATCACAGTAAACAAATTTAACAAAATATTTAAACAGGAAGATACTGACTTGAACAGATGGACTCATTTCCTCAATTCTTTTTAAACTCACATCTTCATAAAAAAATTGCTTCCTCACTTGGATATTTAAGTACAATGATTCTACTCTCTCCTTGCTTAGCCTATCGGAACAGACTGCATTCTAGATTTTTCAAAATTCAAATGAAAAGGGAAGAGACCGTATATATCACATATGGGCACATCCCCTGTGTATACTGCATTCTACAGCCTAAAAGGTTTTTTCAATTTTCAATTTAATTTCTATGCCTTTTTTCATTGTCTGTTTGGTTTATCTTGACACTCCTTTATCTTGGCATCTACTTGAAGAAAGTGTGATATCTTGCTGTACAGACTTTAAAATCTGATATCTGCAGGGGTACATCTGAGATATTATAGATTGCATTTTGGACTCATAAATACACAATTTATATTTGGCATTTCATGGAAAGACACAAAATCACAGAAGACATGCCTTGTCCATTTTCCTATTTTTCGTAATCATAAACTCCTTACAAGCCTTTCACTTCTCCACATTGGAGTGACAAAACAATTCACACTCTAACAGATATTTTAATGAGGTCTTTTCTCATTCCAGGACTTACAATCACAGTATAAGCAAATGTACAGCTGAGGGGCTGTGGGATGGAGGAATATTACGTTTTTTTTTTTTATTTTGTTTGAAAAATCAATAACATAAAATTGTGACTACAAATAATATAATAGACTTAGATGAGTTTATAAACAAAGCTACAGCCATAATATAATATTTGCATTTATGTCTCAAAACATCACTTAATGAACATCTTTTCTGCTGTAGTTATGTAATTGTAGTTGCCCCAAAAGAGCTTAGAGTCAGAGATACAAAAGCAAAGGTTTCTCCACTTACTGTATATTAGAAATAAAAAAACAAGATTACAGTACATGTAATAAATTTTAATGCTTCAAAATTCTGAAATTGATCTTACATACTTGTTGTGAATGCTAAACTGCACAGGTAAAGATCTAGGACTAACATGGATTGCAATTTTGTTTGTTGCAATTTCAAAGAAATGCCATAGATAGGAAAACTTAGCAGAAAAAAAGGACACAAAGCTGATGTTAAAGTACCAATGATTCTTTAATTCCTAATAATCATCACAAAACACCATGTCAGCTAACTTCGGTATATTCTTGATCAAATGCCTCATACATATTTATTAAGAACTAGTAATATTTCTAATGTTCTAATCCGAAATTGAAGATGAAAATGTATTTTCCTGTCAAAATGCTTTTCAACTTCATTTTATAGAGATCTTCCATTTCTTCAACCAGTAGAGTTTTCAGTCATAGATTCAGCTTTTGAAATATAGCATTGAATACATTTGGGGTAGTCACTGGAAATTGCCAATGGTCTATTTATCTGTTGCTTTAGACATCTACTCATCTTCTCATCTTTTCATAAAACAATCAAAGAAACTTTTTTTCACTACGTAAAACCAATGTTGATTTTGAAAGTTTCAGTCTACTAGCATCAAGTATTTGATTTTGTATAATTGAACCTGTCAGGAGCTGTGGTGACCTCAAAATGGTATAATTGAAATTATAGATAGATCAGATAGAAATTATGCCATAGAAATTAGTACATTGTTTAATATTGTTAAAACTGGAGTTTACTTCTGATTGTAAAGAAGAGGAATAGAACAATCTGTCTCTGGGTATACTGTATACAGTAACTTATTTTAACTTTTCACATCACATGTGTCATTTAAAAGAAATGGTTCACAAATTCTACATTCTTAGTTCTAATTCTTGAGAAAATACACAGTGTTATTGTATATCCACCCATGTACAGCACTAATCATTACGAATGCAAAAGCTGACCTGAGCACACATAAAACAACACACTGCATTTACTGAATACTGAAAAACTCTACTGACAGAAACCCAGGATACAAATGACTACAGTAACAATATCGTAGACTATGCTTAATAGTCCATCAAAGTTTCTTATTCCCAGGTATTTTACTTCCATTTTTTTTTATATTTAAAGAATTATAATACATTTCCCATTGAGAACAGTTACTATCTTATAGCCCTCCTGGTGTTAATAACATTTTATTTCAATCTCTTTTGTGACAGCACTATTGGAATTTCTAGGGAGTAGCATATAGATTTTTTAGTGTACTGTAATATACTGCATATTAAAATTTGTTGTGAAAAGCATTTTATTGTGCTATTTTTACATTTTTCTTCCATCTGATAGAATTTAACCTTCAATGCAAGACTTCCATGCATCTGAAAGCATATTATAAACACAAGATGAAAAAAATATTATTATAAATGTAAGTTTGTTTATTCTTTTCAAAGAGCGCTCAGTTTCTTTCAAGGCTCTCTCCCACAACTCATAAATACTTTAGAAGATCAGCACAAGCCATATAGTAAGTGTTTCAAACAAATGCGCAAACATCAACTAATGTTTAATTAATTGACAGTGACAAAAGAAAATATCCATATGCAAAATATGCTTCCTACAGTGAAAGAGAAATGTTATATTTCTATAGTCAAATTTCTATATTTCTATAGTCAAATCCCATTTTGAGCTCAATTACACGACTTTCAGGTTACTTTCAGGTTACTTTAAGGTTACTGCAAGTAATTACATTGAATGGATAGCATAGTATTCTCTCTTTGTATTTTAAATTAAGGCAACTGATAACTGATAATAACAGAACAAAATTCATAAGGATATATAGAGGATAAATATTTGTATCTTCTGACAAAAGAATTATAAATACACTATAAATATGCTTTAGATACTGTATATGTATTCTCTCACTGGTGCGGGTTTTTCCTTGATCCTGTTTTAAAGTTGATCATTTACAATACACACAGAAAACACACAAAATATCCCAACTGAATAAAATAAATATGCCTCTCACCCCTACTCCTTGCCCCTTACCCCAGCAAAATATCTCCACACGCAGGCACACAGAATTCTGTCACATAACAAAAAGAAACAACACAAAACCAACCCCAGTCATGTCATGCTTTACAACATGTTGTGGAATTGCTATGCTGTCAGAGCAGTGTAGCGATACAGGTCTTTTATCTATGAAACCATTGCAGTAACCAGCATCATCTGTCTTATTCTATCTTTGTTTTCTATAACGTTAAGACAGAATGCCAAAAGTTTTTTTTTTTGTGATAGCACTGTAAGAGGTGGAGCAGCTAATGTATTAGCATAAATTTCAAATGCCAGCAATGTAATTTCTAAGGAATATGTATACTAATTCATTTTTGTGAACAGCTTAAACTGTGTTTTAAAACACCACATTCTTCTCATTTAGTATCCTTATAATTCATTGATTAAAACATTTTCTTAAAACTAATGAATTTTCCCTCATTCATCAAAAAATATAACTATTGTTAATCTAATGCAGAATCTTTTGCCTTGTATGGGGTATGAAAAAATATATATTGAAGCCCGAGAGAATAACATTAGATGGACATGAACCATGGGATCCATTTCACAATGAGTACCAAATGCTGTCAAGAGTCTCTCCTCTTAAAAGGGGAAATTGTTTATTGATTAGGATATAAAACAGTAATCAATTATTTAAATAAGCATAAGAATGTAAAAGCCCTGACAGTAGTGGCTGATTCTGTAAGATCTTCAAAGGCAATGTGTACTGTGGAATCCATGAAACCCAATATTGTTATCAAATCCACTGGAACTTAAAAAAAAAATAATGCCCATGAAAAACTATAAATGTCATTTGAATTTATGTCATGGATATTCCAGTTTAGTCATGTCCTTAACTTGTGCATGAGGTTAGAAAAGTTCAGCAATGTGTAAAATGCACAAAGAAATTAATCTCCTATGTACATGAAGTGGAATATTGAAATTCAGGAAAAAAACACAAAGCAAGCACTGTGCATATTAAATGAATTGTCTTACCCACAAGAGACATCTCTGGAACTGTGGCATGATATGGCCCATTGTTAAATTCTGGCGCGTTGTCATTGATGTCCTGAACTTTGATAATGAATTCTGAAGGAGGCTCTAGAGCTTCATCGGTGTCCCTATTGATCACCTGCGCAGTGAGTGTGTACTCAGCCTTTTCCTCCCGGTCAAGTCTCTTCATGGCGTGAATATCTCCTGTCAGTTCATTGATTACAAAGATGGTCCCTGCTCCTTCACCTGACAGAATGTACTTGATATTTCTGCTTCCTGAATCCAAATCAGTGTGGAGCTAAGAATAAAAAAAAACACAGATAATGTTAGATCTTTTAAATAACATTCCTACCAATAATATTTCATTTTTCAAAGTCCAAGGAATAACAATATTAAATAAGTATTGCATTTAAAAATAGATAAAATGCAATCACAATGAGGGTTCCAGCATTTATTTTTATAGTACAGGTGCTAAGAGGAATAAAACAGTACATCATACACTTAAACATAATGATTTACCAAATTTGATCAATTGTTTCTTAATGTTTTATCCAATGAAACACTCAACTATCTATATATCAACAATTATGCTTGATCTTATTTAATCAGAAATAGGCAAGAACAAGGAAAAACCTCTAATATTCCTTAAAGACAGCTTCAGACTGGATGAATTTCCTGTGAATATAATTCATATATTATGGGACAAGGTATTCCAGTACCCCAACAACATGCACAGAAAAGGAAAATATTGTATGTAATACATACTGCACACACAGAATTAATCAACAGCCCGAAAAAAACAATATTAGTTTTATTAAGAGTTCTAAAGTTTGAATTATAAAAGACAGTAAATTGTATTTTATAATAAGTGATTACTTTAGTCAAGTTTAATTATTGGATTTATTTTTTTGTACTGCTGACATCTCAACAACTCTAACTCGCTAAATGCATCCGTCAGTTGCGTGTCTGGGTCAAAACCTTAGGTACCTCTTAAGTTAGCCTTTTTGATTGTGCCAAGATACATGTCATTTAATTCTATATATAGAGATGACAATACTGCATTTGTGAAATGGACAGCTGCCATAAAAAAGTGGGTCAAGACTGCAGATTTCCATATTGTGTGTCTCCTAAGTATTAACATGCAACCTCTTTCATCGACATTTCCAAGAAAGAAAATGAAAGGGAGATTTAAATGCTACTGCCAAAGCACTGAAGAGATACCCTTTACTCAGGTTCTGAAAATAAATAAATAAAAATGTCATGAAAATGATATATAAAGACAACACCTTAACCTGAAATGGCTTCTTTCAACACTGTGTCTGCCAGAACTTACTGCCATTGAATGGCATGAGCCCTGAGTGCATAAAAAAATAAAAGTAAACTTTGTCAACTGTCAGCTGTCACTGCCTTTCAAGGTAACAGAATTTTCAGTACAGTGGGATGGTTCTAAAAGCTTACAACTGAAGCAAATGAAAAAAGATATTTCTGGGCTAAAGATTTTACTTTTACAAAAAGCTGACTAAATGTGTGACATTTGTCAAAAAAGATAAGCCTTCAAATTAAAGACAGGGGTCTCTAAGATAGATGTATTTAGGAAAAATCTTTCTTACAAAAAAGGAAGAAGGAACAGCAAAACATTTACTTCTGCCATCCCTAAATTTGGCATTCATTTGTAAAGGCAACATGGAAGACAAAATAAAGCACTAAGTAATCTGACAGTGTTTGAAGGTTGGTTTACAGCTTGGCTGTCCAATTCTTGTATTGGAGAGCCAGTGAGTCTTCACATTTTCATTTAATTTCTGGTCTATCCATACATTTTTGCAACTGCTTTATCCAAAACAGGGTCATGGGGAAGCTGGAGTTTATCCCATTAAGCACTGAGTGCAAGGCAGAATCCTCCCAGGATGGGATGCCAGTCCAATGCACACACTCACACTAGTGACTATTTTCCTGGAATCCAGTAAACCCTACCGGCGTGTCTTTGGTCTGTAGGAAGAAACTGGAGCATCTGGAGGAAATCCACAAGAAAAAGGGAAGAACGTAGAAACTCCACAGAATATAGCACCCAAGGAATTTTACCCATGGCTGCAACAATGTATGGCAATGTAATTAATGGTAGCAAATGTACACTACTAATATGTCCTGCACGTTTTAAGTCTACAAGACACTGAATTAAATATTTACTTGTTTAATTGGATCAATTTAACAGCTTCTCCAAGATCTTCAGGTGTGATTGCTTTGAATTGTCTTAGGAAACCTGTGACAAACTAATGTTACTGTCATATCTGTTATAGAAATGTTGATTTCTCTTTTACAAAAATCCACAGTAACTGTATTAATAAAACCATTCATGATGCTTAGATGACTCTGGTAAAACACCATTTGAGCAATGGCATGATAGATGAATAGTTAAGTAAAAATGGCGAAAAATAAAATGAAATGATTTATGGGCTGCCATAGAGATGTTTAAAACATTCTAAAAATTACTTTAGTAAGTCATAAAAAGCACAGCAGATAGAATTAACATAACAATTGTGCCTTGACTAATTAATCATCCACATGATCACTTATATAATGCTTGAATATGTACAGATATATTTTTACATTTTAATTGTAGGCACTTCACGCTGAGTAGCATTTTGTTCATTTCTACTTATATGACTGACTGATGCATTATAGGGCCCTTTTAGATGACATATGCTGTACTCTTACATTTTATTTTTCTAGGCAGACCTTTTTTTTCTTTTTTCTTTATTTTCTCAACTTGTGAATGAATGTCAAAAGCAAACAATAATGAGGAAAAGATACTGGATGAAATGCCTTCCATCACTAATGTTACTAAGACAACCTGCCTCAGTTAAGTACCTATGGCATCACTACCTGAAAGGTAAAAGCTATCTGTTTCACAATGGCTCATTACCGGAAAAAAAAGTTAAGAGAAATACCTAAAATCCTGAAACATAATTCAGTAATTTGAATATCTAATGAGTGAACAAGCTTCTTCTACACATTTCCAGCCAAGATAAACTGTGTCAAGAAATGCACTACAGCTGCATTAATTACCATGGATAGGTTAGCAGGTGAAAAAAAGCTTTGTCTTAAGAAAATTATAATCATTAACATATAACTACAATAGCTAAAATATGTTTATGTGTGAGGCGTATAAACTTAATGTACTGTATATTAAAAGAAAAAAACAAATTGATTTTTAATTTTTATTTAATATACTTAAATTAATTAAAGTGAATGTGGCACAATGAAAACAGGACGTAATAAAGGTAAATATCCTTTTTCAAAGTTCTGTACTAAAAGTAGTCAATTCTGCCTCTGACTTCATATCCATTCATCTGTTTTCAACCACTTTATCCGATACAGGGTCTTGGGAGAGCCAAAGCCTATCCCAGCAAGCAACAGTTTTTCCTGAAGCTAATTAACCTACTGTACCAATATGTCGTTGGACTGTGAGAGGAAACTGGGGCACCCATGTGAACATGAGGAGAACAAACTCCACGCAAATAGCACCACAGGAATTCAACCCAGGGCCCCAGCTCTGCATTACTAAATATTCTAAAAACAACATGCCAACATTTACCATTTTAAATGAAGAAGATCAAGTACAGTAGGTAGCTGTATCAGCATGAGTCGACTATAAAGGAATGGGTTACTCCATGCTGAAAGGAAAAAAAAGACACAGCATTTCAGCTGTGGAGCCTTCTTCAGATGAAGATGTTTTGTCTCCTTTCATTTCCTTTCTTGAAGGAATAAACCTTCACCTGTTCATTTTAAACAAAGACACTTTTCATTCAGTACTAATCAATGGCACACAATCTTATGAGATATACTTTTCATCAGTAACATATTAAAATATTCTCTTATTATGATCAGGTTTACACAAAGTTGCATGTTCAAAGCATGGAGAGATACAAGAATTTAGACAATTCTGTTACTGTATGGCTTGTTCTTATATATAAAGAAGCATACAAAATAGCTACTAACTCTGCCACTGTTAAATGCATCACTTTTTCTTTAGGCTTTTCAAAGTCTATAAACCAACAGAAAATGATATACAGTAGGACTTGGATCACCATATCAACAGTACACCTGTTAATGAAAACAGTTCTGTTTCTGAAAGGCTTATTTACCACTTGGGACCAGACTATCTATAAAAAGAACCACTTAACAACAGCATCGGTTCATTAGTAGTGCTCTAAAACTGAAGAAGTCCTAAATCAGATTTAATATTGCAGAGGATTATAATCCGTTGCTTCATGAATCTTACCACTGAGGGAAAAAGACAATTTTATATATGTTCCCCATGCAAGGAATTACAGTAGTGTGCTGGGTTTTATTGGCAGCACTAGAACAATATGTCATTCCCTACACAAGGCAGACTTTTGTGGCAGGCAAAGGAACAATCATTGTAAGTTTAATGAGGCTCACTCCTTACCAAGCAGCAGGCTATTTAGCTAAGCCTATACATTAAAATACTGTAATAAGCTGTACATGGCAAATTACTGATTTCTCTTCTTGTCAAGACTAATAGGTAAAGGTTGTGGTGTTCTTTTTCATATTAAAGTCTTTCTGTCAGAGTAATTGGATTTCAATTCTGTCCAAAATAGATCAGAACAAACTCTCCAGCTACATAAATACATGTACTTACGACAAAAATAAAAAGTCTACACAGTAGCTTTGACTTTAAGTAATTCATTATATATTTCTTATGCCTATTACTGAGGTTAGAGTATGACATTAGTAGGATTTTACTCTTAAAAATAGTAACACCTGCCCACACAAACAGAAGTTGATTAGCAAATAATGAGTTTGAGGTACAGTATATATATATGATATATCTGATCTTGGGTCCAGAAGAGAAATACAAATTCCCAATGTACTTAATAAAATACATTGGTTAAGCAAAAATACTATCACCTTATATCTCCTTTTGCTTGTAGAACATTTTTACTAGGGAAGTTGCCAGAAAGAAAAGGATGTGATATTTATGCTGTTAACAGTCACTTCAAAAAACAAATGATTAAAATGATTGCAAATGTACTAAAATACAAAAAAGAAGATCAGCATTAATGACTGGGAGAAATTAAATAATGCATAGATATGCATATGATCCTCTAACTATCTTAAGACAAATTCCACATTCAGTTATCCTGCCAGTAATAATGCAATGATCATAAGATTCACCTACCGAGATACTATAATGTCTGAAGGTGAATAGACTGACATATGCAAAGATTCAACTAGTATGTCTTATGCATAAAAGTGATTTCAATTATTCCAGTGATT